TCTAAAAAGATGAAACTATTCCAACCTAATATCAAGCTCTTAGGATTTAATATCTCTAAAGGTCTAGTTATCCCAATAGATGAGTTATCCTTTTTTGCAAGCAAATTTCCAAACGAGATCAAAGATGCAACCCAGTTGTAAAGATTTTTAGGTGGTCTAAATTATATAGGAGAATTCTACAAAAAATTAGTTTTAGATCGTAAACCTTTGTTTCAAAGACTAAAGAAAAATCCTTTGCTATGGACTAATGAGCACATTCGTGCGATCTAAAAGATCTAAAAAAGAGCTAAAGACCTTTCTTGCTTAGCTACTCTTGATCCCAATGCCTTCAAAATAGTTGAAACAAACGCCTCCGAAATAGGATACGGTGGGACTCTTAAACAAAAATCCCCGAGGGGTGGAGAATAGTTAGTAAGATTTATTTCGGTAATATGGAACCCAACTCAATAGAATTATTCTACCATCAAGAAAAAGATCTTGTCCATCGTAAGATATATCTTATATAGAGCCCTCTCATGAAAAAAAATCTCTAATTGGTCGGCTAACTTAGCTTCCTACTTGTCATCACTCTCATGTCGCTTGTTATTGTAACTACAACTAAAGTCGGCTCGGGTCAACATGGATTGGATAAAAAATAAGGGGGAACAAAACGTATAGAAGCACTTACTTACGTCTAACCATTAGCAACCTTGGAGAAAGAAAGGGAAAATAGGATGAACTTTATATCACTTAGCGCTTTGGTGTATTCTCTAAAAACGAAAGGGAACACTTTCTTATGAGATCGTGTATGAAAAGGCACACTTTTTTTCTAGATCGTGGAAGAGAGGAAGGTAAGCCATTAATGTAATACCAAAAAAAATCAAAGGAGTCGGACCATAAAGACAGGTGAGGGACGTTTTTTAACCGAAGCTTTGCTCCTCCGTAGAGAATTAATTTATTTGATGCCTATCAACTATAAAATAGCATCCGTTTTGGAGTAAGGATAATGGAACTATTCACGAGCTCGTCATTAATGCTTTCAATGTTTCTACCATTGGCTCGGAAAACCACTTCTTTCGTTAGAGAATAACATAAATCATATCTTAAGGCCTAACCTAACGAGCTTAATCTTTTAGATGAGATGGTCGTTTGATATGGTATCATAGCCTTAATGACCAAATGGTTGTGAGTTTGGATCCTACCACCCTCACTTTCTCTTCTAATTAATTAAGCACAAAGTAGTATAGGTTTATGTAAGTTTCAAACCCAAAGAGCTTTCACTTGAAGGGGTGTATTAGAGAATAACATAAATCATATCCTAGGGCCTAACCTAATAGCTTAATCTTTTAGGTGAGATGGTCCTTTAACACTTTCTATCAATGGCCACACGAGCTTATCACTCATCCATAGTTAACATAGGTTCGAGGCTCTCGTTTCATAGTTTCTTTCTAAAACCAGAGTGATATCTTCCATGACTAGCTTCAAAATAAGTTTGGCTTAAGCATGAGGACATAGGATTTAGAGCTTCCTCAAAACAAAAGACCGACGTGCTTAGATCGCTTTGATTCCTACTTTCAATTGATATTTTTCAAAAAACCAAGGAAGGAATTCTTTATTGAAAATCCTTTGATGACATCTTACTTCGATGTTTTGATAAAGCACGAAGGTGAATACATCATAGATGAAGCACATTCGGGAATCTGCTCCGCCTCTCAGTTACACCGCAAAGCACAACTTTCTGGTCTAGAGATAGCACGTACCGTAGAGCTGTTTACCGCTCTGTGAAAGAATAAGGGTTCGATTCCTTTATCGACTACATAAATTTACAAAATTACTCATTCAATGACCCGAGGCTAGGGATAGGCTCCTGGGCATTGCTCGATGCATTTACAATGATGAACAAATATGGCAAGCTTCGGGAGACCTAATTGACTTCATTCTATGTAACCACGCTGTTAATTTAAGAGTCGTTGTGTCGGGCTCATAACTCGGCTCCATCATCCTACTATTTTACTTTTGTCTAAAACATGATTCATCCAATAACATTCTTCTCTATTTTATTCCCGCATCTTGATTTATACATAAATGTTTTGTTTGCCATTAATCATGCCGCCTAATCTATGCATGCTCCTACTAGAGAGCAATGGATATCTCGTTAAGCGTATTCTATGCAATCTCAAAGGCACTCCCACTCACGAGTCTCTTCCTAACTCCATCGTCCTCTCATTAAATCTCGCCTACAATAATGCTCGATTAGAGAGGTGATATCATTGATAGGAAAAGTATCACAGGATTTGCATTTTTACTTGATAGCAATCTAATCTTCGAAACATCCCAAAAATAGAGAACAATAGCCCGTTCATCTACCGATGCGAGAATATAGGGTTTTAGCAATAATAGTATTGGAAGTAACCTAGCTACACTCCTTTTTATGTGAAATAGGTTTGTCACTAGTAATGACTCCCATACTTTGGTTTGATAATCTCTCAATCAACAACCTACCTCATTGCTAATCTAGTGTTTCATGCTCGTTCAAAACATTTAAAGATTGATTTCCACTTTGTCCGGACAAAGTTAGCAAAAAGGAATCACAAGTACGCTACATTTTTACTGAAGATCAACTAACGGACATCATGACTAAATTGCTTACAAAATGTAAATATCTTTATCGGGTTAACAAGATGACCGTGTTTCTTGTAGCTCAACTTGAGAGAGGATGACAAAGATAAGAATTATTTAAGGATAAGAGTTAGACATTATATATATTACGGTAACTTAATGTAACGAGAACTCTATTGTAACTCTATCTTTATCTCTAAAACTTTGTTTAAAGAGTTCACTATAACACTCGAATAGTGTGTGAAAGTTCTTTCCAATTCACTCTTAGTTTCTACGATACAGGCGGTGGGCAATGAGGTTCGTAGAGGATAGGGGAAAGTGCCGGCGGTAGATTACAAGATTGTTAATTATGTTAGCAAAGAAGATGGGAAGACACACTCAAATTCAAGGCCTATAAGTCATGCAACTGTGGACGGGTATGCTTGTTCCTCCGAATATTTTCATGCAATTGTGGAGAATATGTTAAACATCACTCAATTTAATAGAAAAAGAAGAAGAAGAAGTTAATTTAGAGCATGAAATCTCCGATGATAAGCCATTCCTTGGTCATTAACTAAATATGCAAAATCTATACAGACCAAGTACTTTGTTTATATTGAACATATAGACTAAAATATCATACTATGATAGGTAATAAAACAATGAGATACTTGTTTCAATAAATTATGGCACTAGTGGAGAACTTCTCAAACTTCAATATGATCAAGTCATATTAGTTTTTCTAAAACACAAAAACAAGGTTGACCAATTAATGTAAACATGAAACGAGCTCAATCTTCGAAGTTTTACTCGAGGAAATCTAGAAAATTGAAGCAACAAAAAGACAACTCAACATATATATTCACAAACAAGAAGAATTTGAAAGTAATTGAAAAACAACTTATCCTTACTAGTACATATCCATCCGAGCTCGCATCAATGGGATGTCATTTCCTCATTGCGCTCTACGTGAGCAAATGCTACATTTGTTGTCACCATGTCGATGCGAAGACTTTGATGCCCTAAATTTTCATGGACCTCCTGCAGGGGTTGAATTCCGGGTAGGCTTTATGTTCTTGTTTACGTTATTTTGTACCTTAGTGTCAATCACTTACTATCATTTTACTCATTGAATTATAATGTTTAGTTCTTCCCCAACAAGTTGTATAGAAAACAAAGCTCCATAGAATCATAGAGTACTTCACTTTTAAGTAAATACTTTATGTTTTGCCTCTTGCAAAAGTTCTTGTTTGCAAATTTTTTGTTGCCGTAAAATATGTTTCAAAAAAGACCATTATTCCCCTACATCGGCTCGGTTCGAATCCTTTCTAACTTCAACCATTTAACTAAAAATTAAAACAAACTTTAGTAAAATGCGAGCACAAACTTCATTAATACTAAGTAAATTGTCTCAAGTTTAAAAGCATGTATGAAGAATCTATAGTTCCTATAATTGAATATTCCAAGCTATAAACAAGTTAAAATTACTATACATCTGTATACCATATCGATTTGGTCAAATTCAACTCCTCTCTTGGGTGGGGGTCTATAAAAATGGAGCGGATTTAAAAATAGTAGCTAGTTAAATTAATTAAAGAGTAAATAGATTAATCTGTTTTTATATAATAATATGAATCTTCAATATGTCATTATGTTTTTAATTATATTTACTATGCCTTTGAATATTATTTTTCTTCAATTAGATTTTATTATCAATTTTTCTGATTATTGATAAGTTTTTTTATAGAAATGTTCCTAACTGAAAAAAAAATCACTTAAAATCACATAACCAACTTGTTCTATTTTTGAAGTTTTTGAAACTTTTTTTTTTAATTTCTATTAGAGACATTTTGGTTCAACAATTTTTGTTCGTGGTCAAAAAAATTAGTCGAAATGACATATTATAAATTTAATATTATTCAAAAATATAATAAATATAATTAAAAATATGAAGATAAATTAAAAAATCATGCTATTGTGTAAAGAAATACGGTCCTCTTAGGTTACAATTTTTGGGACAAGTAAAAAGCACTCTCTCTCCTCGATTTCCTCATCTCCGAAGTACCAAGGACCAAAACACAGATAAAATAAAATATCATTATTTAAACATAAAAACTATGAAAAATAAAGGACTGAAATGTAAACACAAATGAAAACCCTTAAAACCAATTCAAATATTGTAAAATACCAATAAATAGAAACCCGAAAACCAATACAAAACATCAAAAAATTTCATCTAATAAAAACCTCCAAATCAATCAAAAAAATAAAAAATAAAAAATAAAAATACGGTAATAAATAAATAATGCTCTGAACCCCTCAGGTTAATAGGACATTACATGTTCAAAACTACAACGTACTTGGAAAAAAAATATAATAATATTCATTATCTATTCCACAGTGCACAGTCTACTCCACCAACGATGTCCGTTCTCCACCGGGACCTCCTTCCTCTCTCCCTCCACTACCCAAACAACACCCCAGTCCTCCCCTATCCCACCCGTAGACTTCACTATCCCCATCACCAAACACTCCCAAAAATCCTTTGCGCCACAAAACGAACGGGAAAGAAAAGGTACCCGTCAGAGAAGAAGAAACTCAAATTGAAGCACAAAGAAGCTCTGACCGATGTCAAGAACAAATTTGAAGGCATTTGGAGGCTGTCCAAGCTTGCTGTTTCGGTTCAAAACGACCCCGGAAAGGAATTTCTCGGCGTCTCCGACGGCTTGCTTCAAGAAATTGCCAAAGCTATCAAGTTCCCGGTAATGCTTTTATCAGTCTCTCTTTGAAGGTGAAATTTAACTTTATCTTTACCGTTTTTAATGGTTTAGAATTGACACAGGTTGCTTCAATGTTGCCACCAGAAGCATTTTCGGTTATAAGGAAATCATTTGATGCGAGAAAGGTCAGTTTAATTGATACTAGTTTACTGTTGTTGCTTGCTTCCTTTAAATTGACTGGAGTTATCTAAATTTTAATTTTTGTTTTATATTTCTTGCTGTTACTTAAGAAAATTAAACTTTAACAACTAATTAATTTTACTTGTATATCTATCTAATCTGTTTTAGTAATGTTTTTTCAGATGTTAAAGGAGGCAAAATTTGTTTATACAGTGGATATGGATGTGAGTGAACTAATAAATCTAGAACCTCGTACTAGGGATTTCATTTCGGACTTAGAGCCTAGAGTTGGGCTTATAGAACACGTGCCTCGACAAAGAGTCTTGGGTGATATAATTAGTGTGATACAAGATTGTAAAAAGGTCGAGGGAGAAAGGTTGCCAAAAGACGGTGGACTTGATGGTTATTCTAGTGATGCAGGTGCACATAAGTATGTGGCAAGCAGAAAACCAAAAATTGCAGTTGTGGGTAGTGGACCGTCTGGGTTGTTTGCTTCTCTGGTTCTTGCTGAACTTGGTGCAGATGTTACTTTGATAGAAAGAGGCCAGCCAGTTGAACGGAGGGGGCGTGATATTGGTGCCTTGATGGTTCGTCGGATTTTGGAATTGGAGAGCAATTTTTGCTTTGGGGAGGTTATATCTTGCTTCACTTAGTACACTTGTTGAAGGTTGTTTTAGTATCTTGTATGCCAATCAATATTCTTGTTTTGGATTGAGTCTCTCTGATTTTGTTTCCTATAATAGACCTATCCTTTCAGATTCTTGGCTTCTTAACCGTGTCTTAATGATCATGCACATTGTCATTCCAACACCTAGTAACTTTTAACTAGAACTTATGCTTTGTCTCTGTGTGTGTGTGTGTGTATTTATTCTGTCAAGTACACGGTCTTCATTTTGTTTATCGTGAAGTGTTTAGTTTGTCAAGTTCGGTTGTCTATTCTAACATTCCTTTTCTAGTTTGATTCCAGTATCCATTTAAATGATTTGAACCTTCTCGTTAAAGTTGTATAGCATGAGTTAGAATGGTTAGACAAGTGATATAGGGATTATTAGTGCTCTAAATATGCCTGAATGAATTATTGGACTGTAATGCTTTAAAGAATTTGAGAGTCAAGATTGTATGACTTGATTCCTAGAGCCCCGTTATGGCGCTCAGTGACTTAGTTCCTAATATGCTTCTAGATTTCCCAGAACTTGGTTCAAAAGTTATGTTGTAATTAGCAGAAGCTCTAATGTAGTTACCCATGCCTGCTTCTGAGGAATGGCATATTTTGTTCTTTGAAATGTTTATGAATCATAGATTGGTTTATCATGCACACGAATAGCTGAAAAGTTGGAATATGAATCATGGTAATGAGAATATTGGGGTTTCTTTATATTTGTTTGATAATTTGATTCCATTCCTGCGCAATTTTGATTTGGCATCATTTGCCTATTTGATATTTTGCCATCACCTAATTGTATTTGGCGAGTGTTCTTTCTTTGTAAGGTAGCAAGTCATATTAAGGACTTATGTTTGGCAGGGTGGTGCAGGTACTTGGAGTGATGGAAAGCTAGTAACTAGAATTGGAAGGAACAATGACAGTGTTATGGCGGTGAGAACCATTCCTCATACGCTTTACCTAGATCTCCCATGCATTGCTTTTGTGCTATACATGCTATCTTTTATATCTATTAGCTTCTTTACTATATCTGTGCTTCTCTGGTCAGTTGTCCAACAAATACTTACCTGTGCTTGTTAATTGATATAAATTTTTAAGTTCTAGTAAAACTCTGGAGGTCTCACATACTAAGCAATATTATAACTTCAGGTTATATCTCTATTAGTTGCCTGAAACTGATTGGTGCAATTTGTTTAATAAGAAGCTTACTTATGGTTTTATTGGAAGAAACAGTTATAGGTCCAATTTATTCATCATGCATGCATCTAAACTTGATATAATTTCCTTGTGAGAGCTGCATTTTAGTGTGAATAAAGTTCTTTGATTTTTAGCTCGGTTTTGCAGAACAAGTTCTGCCATCATGAAGATGTGGGTTTTCCAAGTATGAGATTAATATGATTCAAATTAATAGATTAAACTACTTACAGAAATGCTGGGAAAAAAAAAAGTCCCTGTCTTTCCCTATATTGACTATTTATTTTTGCTTCTTTTTTTTCATCTTATCAATTTTTACTTCTATTAGTGGAACCCTATTAATGAAACCTATAAACAAGTTCTACTTTTAGTTTCAGTGATTGTATGGGATGCCTAATATTTATGTATATCTCAGGTTATGAAAACTCTGGTTCACTTTGGAGCTCCAGAAAACATCTTGATTGATGGAAAGCCTCATTTGGGAACTGATAGGTTGGTTCCACTGCTCCGCAACTTTCGGCATCATCTACAGGACCTGAATGTAAGTTGCTGAAACAGAATTTTCCTATTAGAGACAAGTTGATTATGTTTCTTTTTACAGTTTTCCACTCTGTTAACACCCAGAAAACTATTCTGCCTTCTTAGGTTTCTATCAAGTTTGGGACACGGGTAGATGATCTGATAATAAAGGATGGTCATGTTGTGGGGGTCAAAGTTTCTGATTCAAGGGACCAATTGAAGCTAGATTGCCATAAGTTGGGATTTGATGCTGTCATTTTGGCTGTGGGGCATTCTGCTCGTGATATATATCGCATGCTTCTTTCCCATAATATTGATTTGGTGCAGAAAGATTTTGCTGTAAGTTCAGAATCTTTTTCTTATATATCTATCAGCTAATAAATAATTCCATAATGAGTGGCCATCCATGCACTACTTTGGTCCACTAAATTACTTTAAACAGAACACACCATTGATTCATGGTATATATCAAGGAAGTGAGCTACTATTTTGCCATTGGATTTGTCATGTTTGGTTATTAGTTGAACTTAATAAGAGCCAAAATCAAATTGACTTCCTTTGTTGCTTGATAAGAGCTTAATAAATATCTCTATTGCGAGTGTTCTACAATTCCAGTGCATGTCTGCTTATCTCGCCTTACATGTGTGAATCCAAAAATGATGCGTGTTATTGAACATTGACTATAGGCTGGTATGGATGGTGGGGTCTGCTCATGTAAGATCCACTTAAATTTTGACTAAAAAAGAAAAAGCTGAATGGATAAAAGAAGCAAGTGGGCTAGGAAACACACTGTGGCTGGTTACTGGCCACACATGAGAAACTCTTTTTGTAAGGTTTACAATTTTAGTGTACAGGGGAAGAGAAAAAAAATTTTGTTGTGGGTTTTTCCATTGGTTGAAGGGTAGAAGTGCATGATTCATTTTGGTCTAGAAAGTATAGTCAGCATTGAGGTTTTTATAAATTTTGTAAAGTGATTTTTGGCAATGTATCTATTCTGCCATTTCTGATCTGAAATAGGTCACTTTTAAATCAAGTTTGAGTTAACTTTGCAAAAGAAAAATTCTTATGTTAAAAATCTGTTTTATTGGTCATGTATCACAGTTCAACACAAATATCTTTAATGTTTTCGGCTCTATTATGTGGCATCCATGTCATTGTGATTGATGTTCTGCTCTATTCTTATTTTTAACTTGGTTTCTTGAGACTTCTCTGCCATTGTCACAGTAAATTAATTGGTTGAGCAGGTTGGTTTGCGGATCGAACACCCCCAAGAACTAATAAACAGTGTACAGGTTGGTTATGCATCTCTTTCCCTATTATATCATATTCATATAGATGGATCGGTACTTGGCTTGATTCGTCATTCTATTTTACTTCTGCTCTAAAACATGAATTAACCCAATAACATTTGTCTCTGGTTTGCTTTTGTAACTCGATTTATACAAATGTGCAGTATTCTGGTCTGGGCACTGAGGTTCATAGAGGACGTGGGAAAGTACCAGTGGCAGATTACAAGGTTGTTAGTTATGTTAGCCAAGAGGATGGGAAGACACCCTCAAATTCAGTCTCTACAAGTCGTAGTTGCTATTCCTTCTGCATGTGTCCTGGTGGACAGGTACACTTGTTCGTCTGGATGTTTCCTGCAAAAAATGTATACAAGAGTTTGTGGTTTTTATTTTGAAACGCTGCCTTTAGATCACTTCATTTCTTATTTTTGTTCCACCAGAAAATGCATGCTTATTCCTTGATTGAGTATTTGCTAAATTCAGTTTTATGTGAAATTTTTGGAATTTTACTAGTAATTATGTTCTTCAGGATTTGACACTGAATTTGTTGCATTCACTGGTGGTGTCACTGATACTGCTTTGTAATGAAATATAGAAATGCTGTTGCACTAGAAAAAAGAGTTGCTGATACTGCTTTGTATTGAAATTTAGAAATGCTGTTGCACTAGAAAAAAGAGTTGCTTATATATACTTTGTTATTGTTGGGGATGGGAATCCATCACTGCTGATGAATTTTTTCCTTGTATGCAACCAGCGAGCTTAGTACAGGGGAGGTCCCAAGTTCAAACTTGGGAATTGGGAAAGGTGGATGAGGGGTTTTAACTCTAATAGTACTGTCCAAACTGTTCCGTTATAAAAAACCTTGAATGTATCCACTGATGGGGATGCTTAAATTGGTGGCCACAGGTCGTCCTAACTAGTACAGGTCCATCTGAGCTCTGCATCAACGGGATGTCATTTTCTCGTCGTGCTTCTAAGTGGGCAAATGCTGCACTTGTTGTCACTGTCTCGACACAGGACTTTGATGCCCTGAATTTTCATGGGCCTCTTGCAGGGGTTGACTTCCAGGTAGGCTTTCTGTTCTTGTTTATGTTATTTTATACATTAGTATTTATCATTTATCATTTTACTCATTGCATTATAATGTTTAGCTCTTCCCCAACAAGTTTTAGAAAACAAAGCTCCACTAGAATTCAGAGAATTTCATCTTTCAATTACTATTTTTTTTGTTTTGCCTCTTGCTAATATTCTTGTCTCAAATTTTGTGTTGCCGTGAAAGATGTTTCAAATTACCATACCCCACACTGGCTTGATTTAGTCCTAATTTCCACCAGATTTTAATAGGATTGATTCAAACATTCTTACTATCTTTAAAGTCCATATTTTAGGCTCTTCTTTTTTTCCTGAAATAATTTTCCCATCATTTAGAGGGAGTTTGAGCAAAGAGCTGCTGTAATGGGAGGAGGAGATTTTGTGGTGCCTGTGCAAAAAGTTACTGATTTTCTAGACAAGAAGTTATCAGGTAGAGTGTTTATTTCATTTCCCCAGATGTTTTACTTAATCTCCCTTAGTTGACTTGCCTTGTTTTGCCAGTAACATCTTTGCCACCATCAAGCTATCGGTTAGGAGTGAAAGCAGCAAAGCTTCATGAGTTATTTCCGATGACCATAACAGATGCTTTGCGGCATTCAGTCTCAGTGTTTGACAAAGAGGTTTTAGCATTTTCATCTTGTAGTTAGCAACATTTCTTAGCAAATCTCTCGAATATTCTCAATGAACTTATCATTTCCTATGCACATTTTAATTGCAGTTACCGGGATTTATCTCCAATGAGGCTCTTCTCCATGGAGTCGAGGTAGCTCATTTTCTCTTTTCCAGACACATGCCCACACGCAAGATTTGCAATACACCAAACATGCATGCATTTTTTGATGGATTATCTTTGTTATCTTCTCCTCTGCATAGTTTTCTCAAACTTGCTTCTTAATGTTCATCTACTCTTTTGCGGTTGAATCATTTGTTCTCTAGACAAGAACCAGCTCTCCTGTTCAGATTCCTCGCAGCAGTGAGACTTATGAAAGTATGTCGTTGAAAGGGCTCTACCCAATTGGTGAAGGAGCAGGTTATGCTGGTGGGATTGTAAGTGCTGCAGTTGATGGCATGCTTGCAGGATTTGCTGTGGCAAAAAGATATGATTTGTTTCTGGATGGCATAGAGTCAGTTTTGGGGAAGGCTCAAGGTGCTGGATTTGTTAAGTACTAGGAGCAACTTGGTTCATTCGTCTGAGAAATGCATAAAGCTTTTGATGGGTTTGTGGTTCCATGAAACCAGGGGGAAGAGAAATGGAATGGGTTGAGCTTCTACTCTGAACTTCATGGCCGAATGTTGGTTAGTATAATGTGCCATTTCATTTTAGAGAAGCAATCAACAAACTTCCAGTGCCCATATTAAGTCTATCAACTATTGATATTTCAGTTTCATTTTTTGTGTGGATACAGCGTGATACCAAATTAGAATTATTCTCAGTGATTGGAAGAGAGAGCTTTCACCGTAGTCGATTTGAACTGTTGTCTAACAGATGGATCCAGAAGCTGAGAAATGCCTTTCAGTGTCTGCCAGTTTTAATCTCTTTGTCCTGGTAATTTTAACATCAGCTGACTCCTAAGGTTTGCTTGTGCTCCATTGTTGAAGAGGATCCTAATGATGGTCATGAAAGAGCAAATTGAAGCCGTCTTGTTCTGATTGGTAGACCAACACGAGTTCTAACTATGAAAGGGTAAATACCTGATTAAAGTTAGGTGCCAGTTGACTTCAAAAATTAATTTGTACTGAAGAATTACTCATAGATTTTCAGCTTGACTCCAATGATGTGTAAATTAAGACAGTTTGACAATGAAAAGCTTGAAACTCTTCGTGGAACAATTTTTGATACATGAATCTTCCACTCACAAAGATTTAAAAGATTTTGAAATCATTTATGATGAAGTTTCTTTTGGTAGATTATGCAAAAGCCTGAACCAATGCCATTTTTCGACTTAAGGCATTTTTTACCCCAGAAGTATTGGGGTTGTGGCACACTGAGGCCAGTAATATAAATTCGGTTAATTTTGTTCTTGTATCATCATGTTTTGGATAATTATTGTTCTTCTGATTGATTTTGTTATTTTTTTTTTCCAGAAGAACTTTTAAAAAAAATATTTTATGATATTTTGCAATGAAAATTTTCACATATGTTAATAAAAATTAGGTTTTATGCATATCAAGATTTTATATAATTCGGATTTTTTTTTTTTTTGAGTTTCTAATTTTTTTTTTTTTTTAATTTAAGAATTCTACTCTTATGTTATTGTTTTAGATTCTAATCAATGATAGCTTGTCATGTAAGCACACGTAGTCGGCTCGAGCCAATGACGACTTATCACATGTTATGACGGATCTAAATTTGGTGACTGAATTGGTGATGTGGCAAGCTATCATTGATTAGAGTTTGTTACGTGTTTTTACATGATACATTAAATCTAAAATAACAACAAAATAAGAATAGAAATTTTAAATTGGACAACAAAAAAACTTAAGGTCCGTTGTTTAATTAGACGGTGAAGTTAGAAATACTTGTTAAGTGGCTGAATTTTTTCATAAAAAGTTAAAAATTATAGGGCCAACTAATACATTTTTATTTGAATAATATGTTCAAGTTAAAAATTGAAGGATTAGAAAAAAAAAAATATATATATATATATATATATAAGGTTCTATTTACCGCCCAGCTTCACCAAGCGATAATCGTGAATTTTATGAGCAGGATATTGATCAAGTTATAAAATAATTTTTGAAGGAAGCGGGGTTGTAAGCTGTTTGACTAAAGATAAAATGAGTATTTTTAAAAATGAAAAAAAATAAAAAAACTCTTAAAAATAGAATAGTCAATATATATATATATAGAGAGAGAGAGAGAGAAAGTAAGAGTGTGGTTAAATTATGAGAGTGTCAATATCATATATTCACATTTCTCTATTTTTCTTCCTTAAAATAATTATTGATAGATATTTTGGATTATTTTAAAATTTTTCTTTCGAATACAAAGAATATACATGTGCCGAACTTACCTTTCCTTAATTGATTCTCAATGAGTCATGGGTACTAATATATATATATATTAAGTCTAACAACTGTTATAACCCAAAATTTTTGGTTAAATTATTATTTTTTAATTAAAAAAATTCAAAACAAAAAAAAATGATAAATGATAAAAAAAAGAGAAATTGATCAATTTTACTTTTAAGGATTTAATTGTGATTTTATTTAAAAGTATTATGAGCCAATTTATAAATACTAGAAAGGTAGGGAAACTATGGAAGTAAATTAAGGGAGAATTAAAAAACAATTGAGACTAAAATAATTATCAAAAAGGACTTAATTGCAAAAAAAAATCAAAATGAAGGAGGACCTAATTGGAAGGAAGGAGTGGACGATAGGACGAACTTAGCAATTGTGCCACGAACGATATGTCGTCTGCGAGTTGAATTAATTGGTACATTCCACTGTTCCTCTTCTTTCTTTTAAAGAAAGGAACAGTGGCATGCGAGGGACTTTGTTACAAAATGTAACAAACGTCCCTCGATCACCATTTTTTTTCGGACCTCCACTCTCCCTGTAACTGCCCACTCTCCACCACCTTCCCCACAAACTCCCTCAACTTCTGCTCCACCTTCTCACTATTCCACTCTCCACAAAACATAACCAAGACCACAGTCTCTATTCCTCACAACTCCTACACCCACGACCTCTACTCTCCACTCCCTATGACCTCCACACTTCACTCCCCATGATCAGCCATCGTTCCCCTTACAAACTGTCATGCCACTCTCCACAACCATTGTAAGCTTATAAATAGGCAGTAGCTAGAAAAAGAGGGAGGAGGAAAGACAGAGAGAGAACGAAAGAGGGAAAGCATAGAGAGGAGAGATCAGTAAAGACAAAAGGAGACCAAAAGGAAATAGAGAGAGAGAAAGAGGAAAGCACGAAAGAAAAGAAAAGGAGCATAATAAAGAGTGAGATAGCGGCAAAGAAAGAAAATGAGAGAGGCAATAAGAAACAGGAGGGAAAGGGAGAGTACAAAAAAAAGAAGCAAGAAACAAAGAAAAGAAAACAGGATTAAAAAAAAAAGGAAGGCATTTTTTCGGGTTCTGCAACTAGCTATCTGTTCCATTTTGTTTTCAACATCTCATTCTCTTGTGGACTCAACAGGTAACTCTATAACCTTTTCTTCTACTTTGACATATCAATATCTTAAATTTGTTGAAAGTCATTGTCATCGTATGATATGTAAAAATTATAACAAGCTGCTCTTGATTTTGATTAGTAAGGCATGAAAATTAATGTAGTAACCAAGGGAAGCAGGGTGATACTTAGTTGCTTGCTTTGGGGATGAATTTTAGCTGGTCATGTTGAAAAAAAAAAAGAATGATAAGAGCAGTAGACATTCTTGATCAAAAAAACAAAGCAGAAAAGAATTTAGGTCTTGTTTGTGGGCTTCTTTTCTTTTCTTTTTTTCGCTCAAAGAAATACTGACCCATTTAGTTTTAGTTCAGCTTAGTCTGAAATAATGGGTCTAACCCAGCCCAAGGAGAAAATAATAAGGGTTAGATTGTCCAACCCCCTTTTAGGTTAAACCTCTAACAAGCCCACTATAAAAAAAAAAAAAAAAAAAGAAAAGGTTATGTAGTTTGTTTTATTTTATTTATTCATGTTTTTATTTTATTTTAGATGATTTATATTGAATTTAATTTATATATGTTTATGTCCTGTTTAATTTTATATATATATATTCTCTCTTTTTTTAGTTAATTTTAATTTTAGAACTTTAATTTTCATAACTAATTTAGATAACTAAATGAGAGATAAATTATTGAGTTTCTTAATTTTTAGGGACCGATGATGATTTTTCTATCGAAAAAAATATAAAATAAAAAAAATAGTTGATTCTTTTTATTAAGATTTCATTTCAAAGTTAGATTAATAATTAATAGGTGGGTGAATTATCGAGTCTCTTAAATTCTTAGGGACCGATGATGGTCTTTCCCGAAATGTCAACAATTAGATAGGTGGATGAATTGTCAAGTCTCCTAATTTCTTAGGGACCGATGACATTTTTTTTCCTGAAATATCAATAACTAGATTAAATAATTAATAAGTAGATAATTGTCAAGTCTCCTATATTTTTTTAGGGACCGATGACGATTTTTTCATCAACACAAAAAAAAAAAATTCGATAACTAAGATGTTCTTCGACACACCGGTTGTGTCAAGACTCAAAAAGTGAATCCGATGACGATCGTTTCGATACGATGCCACGCCCAAAAATAAAAATATATTTTTTGACTTGGAAATTAGAGTTTAAAAAAATTAATAATAATAATAATTTGACACAAATAAAATGCTTTAGGAGATGAATTTAGGACTAGACCAAACATGGTACTCTTCTTTTGAAAGGGCGTTTTGGGTGATCTATATCTTCCCAAAGCGTAACCAACTCCTTACCTTAAAATATCTAAACCAATGTCCATTTTAGGTTCCTAGTTTCTTCAATACTAGGTGACGACTCCAAACTTGTAAATAACTTTGTAAACACCAATCCTTAATTTTTTTGGGAGTCCCGTCCGAAGTCGAGTAGCGATAACAACCTTTTCTCTTTTTAAGTCCATAGAATATACAAGTCATGTGATTTTAAATTATTTTTTTCTCATTTTAATTAGGGGAATTTTGATTAAAAAAATGTCATGGTTGAAAAAATTAATCAAAAAAATAAATTAAAAACTTAAATATTACTCGAAACACAATATATACAATTGAAAACGTAAGAACGCATTAAAGACTCATGCTATTATATAAAACAAACCGAACTATTTATCTTTTAATTAATAAATATTTAATTAGATATGATTCCTTTAGTTAAGGTGAGATTCTTAGTTGCTTACCAACTTTTAATCTTAAATAATATTCAAAAGTTTTATGTCGGATTTATTGAATATTTATTCAAGTTGGGTTGGACTTTATCTCGGTAGGGCTATAGAGATATAGTTCTTAGTTCCTCTAATCTTCCAAAACATTCATATAAATCTTAGTTTTTCTCCAATACCCCTTTTTTTTTTTAATTTATACGTTGTTGTTGTTGTTGTTGTTGTTGTTGTGGGGGAGGGGGTATTAAGGATCAAGGTCCCAAGTATGATGTGAAAAAGAAATAAAGGGTGTTAAAAAAAAAGAGGGGGGGGGTGGGGGTGGCGAAGTCACAACAACCAAGAATGTTTGTATTTAAACAATATTTCACTCGTCTATTCTTATAATAACAAAGAACATTCTATGAGAATACATCTTTAAAAGGATAAAACATGTGCTCCCGATTTTTAGCCAATTACCTTTTTTATGGAATTATTAACGAGAGAAAGAAAAAGGTAATAAAAAGAGATCCTCGAGAGAGAATGGTAGAAAGTAGAAACTACTTTTCTTTTTCTTTGTCTTTTTGCTGAAACAATGCAACTAATGGTTTTTGTGAAAATCAACATATTTTCTTTTCTTTTCTTTTCTTTTTTCTCTATCTCTATTTTTTTTTTTAACGAGTAACCTATCTCGATCAAGTGAATCTTGGATTTATAGACAACTTTCTAATTAAAGATCTATGAATTATATTTTTTCATGTATTGGACAAATATATATATATATATATATATATATATATATATATTCCATTCCATACATATACTAAGATTAAGTTTATTTTTCGAATGATATTAACTAAGAGGATGTCTTTTATATCGACTCGATATAAAAATAATTTTTCTAAATGTTGGCTTCAAAATTAAAATTATCTTTTTTTTTCGGATAAAAGGATTTGGCCCCATCTTTTTTTTTTTAATTCTTTCGCTTATCATATAAATCGAGGAATTCCCAAAAATGTTGATTTCTTGCTTTTTTTTTGTGGCAAAAAATGAGCGTACACGTAGATGACTTTAAAAGGTTAGTGATAGTTCAATTAATTAGATGTCCATGGCAAAAAATATATAGTATAAAAAAACAAGAAATTCAAATTCAAGTTTCCAAAAATGATATTTTTCAATCAATGCCGAGAAAGAATTAATTAAGACTAGTTCGAGTTTTTTGTTTTTTTTTTTTTTTTGAAAGCGACGAGTCGCCAATTATATTAAATCGAGCATAAAGAAGAGAAACAATACAATGCGGGGTGTAAAACCCCACACATGGAAACTCGACATGGAAACAGATCGCTCGAACTAAGGAATGAGCAACCGAATTCGCAGATCTCTTTACAAAAACAACTTTCACATCCCTCAAAGTTGCTAAAATAGAAGTACAATCTCGAATAATAAGACCAAATGGTGAATAATCAACATCTCTCGAGTGCATAGCTTGCACTATTCTTAGACGATCTGTTTCGATAATCACCTTCGTTTTTCCTCTATCTTTGATCCAGCTTAAAGCCTCTCTAACTCCCAAGGCTTCAATAATAGCGAGATCTTGTAAACGAACCCAACACCTTAACATAGCCACCCATAAATCTTCCCCGCTCATTTCGAAACACGCCACTAATGGCTCCTTTTTTCGAAAAAATAGCAAGCATCAATATTACATTTAATCCATTCTAACGGAGGACATTCCCACTTGACAACCTCGTCGCATAGTAGCACTATCCGCAACGAGAGGTTGCCCCGACTACTCGCGCATGTAACCGGTCTCTCAAGAAGCCCAAACTTCCGTTAATAGTCACCCGTACATTAGCATTCTTATGGTTCCAAATCGAGTCATTTCTTTGTCTCCAAATACCCCGACAGATTGAAGACATCTCGACCAATCATTGAGAATCAACATGTTGGGCAATTGTAAACAACCATTCTTGGAAGGACCCAATGTTGCCCAAAAAATAAACCAAACCCGACCTCAACCACACCTCCCGAGCAAACGAACAAGACACTAAGACATGCGAGTAGATTCTACATCATTCCCACAAATTGGGCGGGAGGCATCATTTATAATTCGTTTTTGGAATAATGCGTACCGGTAGGGATAATATCCCTTGCAAGCACGCCAAATAAAGTTAACCACTTTAGGAGGAGCATTGATCCGCCAAATGATTTTCCATACATCATGGAACCGTTGTTGATGAGGAGCCCGATTCCGTCCGCGTAACAAACCATAACCGAACGAACGGTGTATCGCCCTTTTCGATCTTCGAGTCCACATCCAACAATCCGTAAGGTTTCTCACACTTAACGGAATATCCAACACTTTCATCACATCGGGCACATCCGAAGCTCATTAATTTTTTCCACATTCCGGGAAGTACCACATTCACTTATAAGTTCCTCCACCAATAAATTCTCCCCACCAAACACTCGGCGGTGTAGAAATCCCGGTCGAGCTCGTATCCCGCGAGCCAAGGATCCCCTCAAATTTTAATGCTTTTACCATCACCCACTCTCCAACGACAGCCACTAACCGAACCCCTTCGCGGCCCCGGATACTCCGCCAAACATAGCTCGGGTTATCCCCAAGTTCGAGTTGAGGAAATCTGAATTTTTGAAATAACGTGCCTTTAATAATCTTATCATAATACACGTGGGATTGGTGAGAATTCTCCACCCTTGTTTCGCGAAGTGCCAAGTTAAAGTCACTTAACTTTCGAAAACTCATTCCCCCATCCTTTTTCGATTACACAAAATGTCCCACCGACACCATCTAATACCACCCTTCCCCACCAATATCCATTAAAGATCTTCTCTAATTCATCACAAATATCCGAGGGCAATTTGAACAAACTCATAACATAATTTGGCATTGCTTGTAGCACTGTCTTGATTAATATCTCTTTACCTGCTTTCGAAAGAGGCCTATTCTTCTAGCTTTGTATCTTCGACCAAACCTTGTCCTTCACATATGCAAAAATTGCCTTTTTCTTCCTACCCACGAAGCCGGCATTCCAAAATAGCTACCATCGTCCACCACCTCGGTAACCCCCGACTCCCCACATAATACCGTCCGAAATTCGGACTCATGCAAGTACTAAAAGAAGCCGCCGACTTATTGAAGTTAACGACTTGGCGTGAAACTATCTAATAATTATGTAAAATCTCTTTGACTCTTCTACACTCCTCCACGATCGCTCGAAAAAGAAATAAGCATCGTCGGCAAAAAATAAATGAGAGACAATCGGAGCACCTCCGGATACTTTGCACCCATGTAAGAACCCACCAAGCCTCACTCCGAGAAATGAGTGATGACAACCCTTCGCACAAAGAATAAACAAGTACGGTGACAAAGGGTCCCCTTGTCTCGAACCACGCCGTGGAATAATCGGACCTAACAATTCATCATTAACCAAGCACATTAAATCTCACAGATTTAACACACAACAACATTAGATCAACCCACTCTCTACGTAAGCCCAACTTCAACGAGCATCCCCTCTAAAAAACACCATTCTAATTTATCATACGCTTTAGAGATATCTAATTTGAACGCTACATTACCAATTTTAGCCGATCTTTGCCGTTTAAGATAATGCGATATTTCATAGGCCACAACGATGTTATCGGTAATGGATCTTTCTGCTACGAATCCACTCGGCTTTCCGAGATTACCTCCGGCAAAACACACTTCGAGCGATTAGCTAAAACTTTTGACATTACCTTATACACCACATTACACAAAGAAATTGGCCTTAAATCAACCATTCCGTTTGGCTTCTTTTTCTTAGGAATTAAAATGATAGTAGTATCGATCAAACCTTCGAGCAAATGCTTTAGCTCCACCCACTTCATATAAGAGCGAGCCACCTCTTCTCCAACCACGCTTCAGCTTTTTGTTTTTTAATCAACACTTTAGTTGAATTAGAAAGTCCATCGATCATATGACAATACTAAAAACTAATAAAAAATATAAAAAAATTCAATTAAATTGTTTCGTAACGGCATGCAATTGGTTTTTCCTTTTAATAATCGGTAATGTTAAGGTTAAGGTTGTGTTTGATGCGAGGTTAAAAATTGAGAAGATAAATATTAAGGGATAAGATTTAGAGATGAAGTGTTCGAGTGTAAAAAAATATTAAAGGATGTTTAGTAGGAGTTGAAAAATAAAAATAAAAGTGAATCTCAATATAAATCGAATAAATTTGAATATATATGTATAGTAGATAACACTATATTTGTGGTTGGAAATGAGAAAGAGAAAAAAAAGAATAAATTAATATTTGATTTAAATAAAATAAAAAAAGGAAGTAAAAAACACAACAACCGAAAACCTCCCTCGTCGCTCAAAATTCCTTTCCCGTCGAAGGTCCCAAACACGAAGGTTAAAAGTTATCATTACAAATTTCATTTTCTATACCTATGTTTGGTAGAACTTTTTGGAGGAGGAGAAGTTTAAGAGTTTTAACGAGGAGTGAAGAAATTCTAAGGGGGGATTTTGAGATTTTGTGTCATTCCCTCCTTTATTTTTAGTTTAACATTATTTTAAAAATATCAACCACTTCTATTTTTTTACCACAAATATATATTGTTTATTTGTTTCCTTACAATTATATTTAATAAAAAAATTTAATTTTAACACTTCATCTCTTAATCCTTTTTTATATTTTTAGATTTTTTCGAATACCAAGAATAAAGGTTTGTTTGAAATAAAAAAATATAGAATGGAAATGGTATTTTTATTCTAATATTATGTTTGAAATATTAATAAAGTATAATAAAATTTTTTAAAAAATTATATTTAATTTTAAAATAAATAAAAATAAAAAATATTTTTTTTATCAATTATAATGATAGTAAAAATGATAGAAGTGATTATAATAGTAATTGCAATGAAGGAGGAGAAGGAGGTGATGACGATGGCCACAACATTGATAATAGTAATAAAAAAAGGGTGCCACAACCGTAGAAGATGACAAGTAAAGAACAAAAGGAGTGATGATGGTGTGATATAATAAAAATGATGATATTAGTTGAAAAAGAATGGTGTCGAAATAATAATAGCAATAATAATATTTTTTTATTTTTTTTATTTTATCACCGATGCCAATAATAGTGGTGCTTGGAAGTGTTAGTGATAGAAATAAAAGGTTTGGAATATAAATGAAAGAATTGAAATCAAAATTATAGAATGAGAATGATATTTGTATTCCAATATTACAATTGAAATATTAATAAAGTATAATAAAATTTAAATTTTTTTTATATTTTATTTTTTAAATAAATAAAAATAATGAATAAAAAATATTTTTTTTTATCAATTATGATTATAGTAAAAACACTAGAAGTAATTGCAATGATAGTTGTAGTGGAGGAGAAGAAGGAGGCGATGGCGACGGCCACGGCAATGATAATAGTAATAAAAAATGGTGCCACCACCATAGAAAGTAGCAATAAAAAAAGAGCGATAGTGGCGTGATATAATAAAAGTAATGAAGGTGGTTGAAAAAGAATGATATCGGAATAATAATAGCAATAATAATATTTTTTAATTTTTTTATCATCGATATCAATGATAGTGGTGGTGATGGTGGTGACAACGGTAAAGGTGATGTCGGTAATAGAAATAATTAATACATAATAAATAAAAATAACATATTATTATTTCTTAAAAAATCAAGTTACCATTTTCGGTTTCTATTTTCACTTCCTTCATGGAAATATAACTATATTTAATTTTTATTTCTATTTTCCTTTTTATTCTCATTTTTATTTTATTTTTTCAACCAAGTGCCTATAAAACAACAATAAAATTTTCATTTTTTGTTACCTAACAACACCTTAATACTTAATAGTTAAATCCTATATTTTTAACATTTTCATTTTTATTTTTTTACACCATAACCTGAGTTGCAAAGGAAATTTATTTAACAAGGTTATTTTATATCTTTTAATTCCCGGCTTTCTCATCAAATCCGTTGTAGTCTAGTTGGTTAGGATACTCGGCTCTCACCCGAGAGACCCGGGTTCAAGTCCCGGCAACGGAATTTATGTCTATTTTTAGTTTCTTAATTTTCTTTTTGCCGTGCAAGGCTAATATCGTAATTTTAAGTACCTAACCCTGGTTACAAAACCCTAGCGCATCTCTTAAATAAGACTCTCTTCTTCACCGTATCCTAGTTTGAACCTTCCTCTCCCGCAGCAATGGTCTCTTCTCATCTGTTCTTCTCTTAAACTCCATTTTTACATATCCTAACACTCCATTTCTTACATCTTTTAAAACTCCATTTTTATTCACTTACTGTTTTTGTTTTGGTTGTGTTTACATCAGGCTTCAGAGAAGAAACTATCAAATCCTATGAGAGAGATCAAGGTCCAGAAGTTGGTCCTGAACATCTCTGTCGGTGAAAGTGGAGATCGTCTCACTCGTGCCGCCAAGGTTTTTTCTTTTTCCTTTTCTTTTCTCTCTTAATAAAATCATAAAAAAATGAAATTACTGTAAAAAAAAATAGTCTGTGAACTCTCTCTCTCTTTAATTGGTTCTTCAGGTGCTTGAGCAGCTTAGTGGTCAAAGCCCAGTCTTCTCTAAGGGTATGTTTGATTCTTCTGTATCTGTTAATTTATTTTTTAAAAGATTATTCTATTTTCTGTAATAATATATTTATTTGATTTTTGTGTGTGTGTGTGTGTTTTTGCTCATTTTGAGCAGCTAGGTATACTGTTAGATCTTTTGGGATTAGGCGTAACGAGAAGATTGCTTGCTATGTGACTGTGAGAGGAGACAAGGCTATGCAGTTGCTGGAAAGTGGGTTGAAGGTGAAGGAGTATGAGCTTTTGAGGAAGAACTTCAGTGATACTGGTTGCTTTGGATTTGGTATCCAGGAGCACATTGATCTTGGCATCAAGTGAGTTTTCTATGTAGCTTAGTTGCTAATTTCATGTTACTTTCATAACTAAATATCAATGCGTCAGTGTCGGGTTTATTGAATTTGCTTTATGGTACTGGTTATAGATTGATGGTATTAATGTGTATCAATGAGTTTTTTTAGGGCTTCGATGATTATTGCAATGCTAAAGTGCTAGCCGATGTTGGCTGATAAGGATAGATTGTTTAGAATGAATAATATATTTTCTAGATTATAACACCTAAGATTGCACTCCAGTGGGCCAGTTGCTCAAGGACCTCAGATTGTACAATTGTGTATGTGAGTTACTTAATGTGATTGTAATATGATGTTTGAGATCTTATTTTAACGTATATGTATTTATAAATGTGGATGAGTACATGATTTTGCAATGCAAAAAATGGTTAATGAGCCTCTGTTGGATGATATATTATTTAGGGATTGTAGCTTGTTTAATCTCTTTTTTTATAAAATAAACTGCTTGTCATGCGATGATATTGTTTCTCCACTATATCTTCTACAGTGGATTGCACCATGAAGTTTTCTGTTTTTTAGCCTTTTTGTACCCTTGTAATTCTACCTTGTGTGTTGGCCCTGAATATGCCAGGGATTTAGAGTTCTCACGCCTTGAAAGGCTGTAATACTATATTGACAATTTGACTTGTACTGTTTGTAATTAACTACGTTATTGCACTGTCTTCTACCAGGTACGATCCTTCAACTGGTATTTATGGCATGGACTTCTATGTTGTCCTGGAACGTCCTGGATACCGTGTTGGTCGCCGTCGTAGGTGCAAGTCTCGTGTTGGAATCCACCAAAGAGTTACAAAGGAAGATGCAATGAAATGGTTCCAGATCAAATACGAAGGAGTCATCCTTAACAAGTCCCAGAATATTTCATAAGGAGTCATCCTTAACAAGTCCCAGAATATTTCATCTTAGATCTTTTTCCTTTATTAAGTTAAAAAGTTTTGGCTAGTTACATTTGGCAGGATTGTGTATCTGAATGCATAATTTGGTCGATGAGGTTTTTGAATTGTTAGTATCAGTTATAACACTACTTTCAGTCTTGTTGCGTACTATTTATGCTCATTGGAGTAGATTGTGCAAACATCTTGCGTTTGGTATTCTCGCCCGAGCCATGCTTATCATATGGGTTGCTTGATTGTTGTTTTTTCTTGCTGGGCTGCTTGTTCGCTTGATCATAATACTTGAAGGGAAAAATTGCAGATGGTAGTTAACAGTATTAAACTGGACAGTGACAAACTGATGGATTAAATGGATTAACAAGTTGGCAGTGTAATGAACTGTGACACCCTCTTAAAGCCGGTGTTTGACTTATGTTTACGTGTGTAAGAATGGCGCTTATAATGGCCGGCAGATTCGAGATTCTTACCCGGCCTGAGAAAGCATCGAGTCTACTACCTTTCTTGTTCTCGTTCACGATAGAGTTAGGGAATGAGAGCTGGCTTTTGGGGATTTTGGAAAGAACTGTTTATTAGAAAACCCACTATGTTGATTAGCTTGAAATAATGTCAAGCAAGATGCATGAAATAAATGATCTCAGTGAAGCAATAGGAGTAAGAGGTTTTGTTGGGTGCTAAAGGAAACTTTGTTTATTAGACATGTTTTCTCTTCCTAAAAACATTGACACTGTATGCTTGCAGTTCCAGAATGAAAGTTATAAAGAGTTCCGCCCCTTGGGTCCTTCTATTAAGCAAAAAAGTGTTGTTTACTGATCCAATACGTCATTTTAGGACGGGCTTTGGGCCGAGAAGAGGCCTGTTCTTCACTTTCAGCTGCGGCAACCTCTCTTTTATATTTCCACAAGGGCCTCTACCGGGGTTGAACACATGAACATATGAACAATCATGTTTATTTTTGCATTATAATGTTATTTATACACCAACTTAACTCGTATAGAAAGCATAGATCCATCATATATAAAGCAATCATGTTTTTGTTCGACTTGCTTAATGAAAACGAATATGATTTTTTTTTTCAGACTCTAGTCTAGTGCATCTGAGCCTTAATTTTGCCATCGATTATCCCAGATAAGACGATCACAGCGTATGAATGGAAATCTTTCGTATTTCCACTAAAATTTAACAAGACAAGTTCTTACTCATGTGCCGATCTTCAAGTTTCAACTCCTCTTTCATCCCTTTAAAAATCGCCTCGTAATTTAGAGAAAATCTGAGCAAAGAAGCAGACAGAGGTTACTTCCTTGCTATGGTATCCAATGTGAATTATAGTAATCCACGAATCAAACAAAAAAACAATCGGTGAGAATCAAGGATTGTTTTATGAGGGTGAAGAAATAATGCGTTCATTTTGGAATCTTCTCGTTCCCAACGTGAGGATTTGGGGCTGTCAATACTGTGAAATGTCTCAACAACAAAATGGAACACATCAAGCAAGCGTATCTTTTTTGGAACGGTAAAATCTTCGTTGATCATTGGAAGAGAGAATTTTTATTTATTTTTTTATTTTTTTTCAAAAAAGGACATGTTGGGGCACGATTAAGACATGCAAGGGCATGGCATATGCATGGGCTTGACTGCAATAATTGTGTTGCCCATGAATGCATTTGGTTTTGGTTTCTTAGGTAAATTTATTCATGGAAGATCATTGGCGAAGTGTGTCTGGGTACAGCACAACATAAAAGTTGCACTTTATCTGCATTTTATTAATTTGTTGTCACTTAATTAAATAAATTATAACGAGTCATATCTTTTGTTTTTTGGGATTTCAAGATATTCAATATTCAAAAAATCAGATCAACCCTTTATTATTTTGTTGGATGCAAAATGCAAGTATAACCATCGAAAAAAAGTTTTTCCCTGTACAAAAACTCAAAGTCAAAATTATTTATTTAAGCAATTATAACTACTTCTACTTAAATTAACCTTTTCAAGTGTTATTTTTTTTAATTGATAAAAAACTAGAACTCGAAATCATTTATTTAAACGATTATAACTACTTCTACTTAAATTAACCTTTTCAAACGTAATATTTTTTTATTAATAAGTGTTAATTACATGTACTTTACATTATTATTATTATTATCAGAATTACCTCATCATGTCTTAATTGGACCATATCACAATTATATTAATTTCAATTAATCATAGAAAAAATGCCTTTTTTTTTTCAGGATAGAAATTGCTTTTTTTAAAAAAAATGAATCATAATCTTCAAGTTCTTTGTTTTGCTCTCCACGTTCTCCTTAAAAAAAAAATTCCACCAAATTGAAAAGGAGAATAAAAAAAAAACATCATAATTTGGCTCTGAAATCATATGCAATGAGCTGGACCTCGCCAAAAGATATTAGTAATATAAGTTTAAGATTTTCTTATAAAATAAAAAAACCAACAAATCCATTTTGATCTAGAATGCACCGTGGACAAGGACAAATGGAAAGGAAGAGGCCCCAAAGAACTGGGACAAAAGCCTCAGTCTTGAGCTGAAAGTTTCAAAACATATGATACGTCTAAATCATCTCCAAGTATAATCCGGAGGTAAACTGCATCAAGGCAATTCGTTGCCTCCATCTTAACAATGATTAAAGGTTAAATTTTGGAAGGATGAAGTGGTTCGTTGCATCAGAAAAATGGGTCCAACATGCTTTTTGCAGTCCACAGAATATCTTGTTGATAAAAGTAGTAGGTTGTCTTGCAAGAGAGGGAAAGACAAATGGGGTTTGTATTCATTAGAGAAGGATTGCTGGCATAGATAGAAGTAGCCAACTCATGATGGTTTCAGCTCATATCAAGACGAACGGCAATTCCATTGTGGTAATAAATGATGCTGTCTTCCTTTTTCATTTGGCATTTTTTCATGATGTTTTGGAGCTTACTCTTCGCTATCCAAATGTTCAATCTTAACTCACATTTTATTTTTTATTCTTAATTTCTGAATTACAAGTTTTGAGTAATATACGTAATCTTCTAACTTACAAGATTAAGATATCAATGAATCTATTTTGTTCTCAATCCAATCACAACAGATTCATCTAATTTTTAACAGTTATACATTTTTTTTATCGACAAAATTCAAATTCTAGATAAAATTATGAAAAATAAAATTCTCACACGTGCTTTATATATATATATATGTATCTTATTTTTTTGACAAAAATATTTTTTGTAGTTTCAGTTTGGGTAATTGGATCTTCATGATTTGGTATGTTAGGCAGGAGAAATCCTTCCGTTTATAATCAATTTTTTTTAAAAAAAACTTTATAAAGAAAGTAGGGACATGTGTCAGCTTCTTATTGGCTTCCATTTTATAAAAAAATGATTAAAATAAAAAATGCAACTTTTTATTTATTTATTGCAATAAATTATTATTCTAATTTTTTATTTATTTTAAAAAGACAAAAAAAATTAAAATATCAAAATTCTTTTTGTTAATTTTTATGGTGGATTGAAGTTTTTTTTATATATTTTTTATTTAACTGCCTAAGTTTTTATTTTATTTTCATAAGCCAAAGAAAAACATCAAGAATGAAATAATTTTGATGTAAAAATTATAAAATTTCAAACACATAAAATAAAAAAATTTCATGAAAAATTAAACTGAAAAGTCATTCTTATGAGAAAATACAAAAAAAATTGAATCAAGAATGTTTCATCAACAAATCGATAATTTTACCATTCACTAATGAAGCGAAAAAAAATAAAGTAACATTTTTTTTTAAGTAAATAAAACTTCAAAAATTTATTCTAGTTATCAATAAATAAAAAGTTGGCAAAAAAAAAAATTGTAACAAACTTTTTTATATATATATAATTTTTATGTATTTTTAATTTTTTTCTAAAATTTGAACCAATAAAAAGCTGATATGTGTCCTCCTTCTCTTTAAAAAGTCAAATTTTTTTAATATTGGGTTTACTATAGATGGGGAAACTTTGTTATGTAACCGGAGCAAATTATGAAGAACCAATTGTCTAATTTGGAACTACAAGGTCTGCTTGTCAAAAATCAATACTATAAGCCAATTTCTCATAGAGACAGCAATTTAACCCAGACACGGTGAATGCCACCCGAACAACTAGGGTTTTTTTTTTTTTAATGGATAATTTTTATTTTAAATTCGGCATGAATATTTAAAAATTTTACCCACTGAATAATAAATAAACTAAAAATACCATCAAATCTGTCTCAAAATCCATTTTGAAATTCATATCAGTGTTATATGCATGTATATTTAAAACATTTATAGCTTTTCTATTGAATTTAATATATAAATATTCCAATATTAACATTATTTATACATATAATATATATATATATATATATATATATATACAGATGCCTTAAATATATAATATCCTTTTATTTTATGTTGTAGATAATATTCAGATAATAAATATTCGAAATGAATAATATATATAGATATTTAAATTTATACTTGATAGATAATGAACAGTATATATATTTCTCATGCAAATGGATAATAAAATTTTTAATATATACTAAAAATCCGCTCCATGTTTCCAACTCATTCTCGTAGCTGTTTTGCGTACCTGAAGGCTGAAGGTTGGCGCCTTGCCGCCATTAAACTTTTATGACATGCCATTTATTCTAGAGTTGAGCTTTTAATAATTACAGTGGGCCCAGAGTTTATTCTAAATGGCTGTAAACGCGCCTTTTGCCTTTCGGCTTGAAAGCAGTGGGCCACTAAGAAAGAATGGAATAGTAACCTAATAATGGCAATTAGTAATATTTTAAGTGCTTAATATTTTAAAAAATTACAAATTATATATTTTTTAATAATTTTAATTTATTTTTAAAAAATATATAGAAATGTCATCAATCATGCTTTCGATAACAATACTAACACAGATTTGATTTTTCAATTAAAATTTTGAACAAAATTGATGTGACAATTCACGTAA